AATCCAGGATAGATGACTCCTTCAGGACCAGTGGTGAGAGGGGTGATGCCTGGAGGGTGAAGGGAATGTGGGGTAGAAGGGGGAACCGATTACAAGAATCTAAGTATAACCTCCTCCCTGGAGGATGGACAGCAGAGAAGAGGGCGGAAGGAGGCGTCAGACAGTGTAACTTATATCAAAACTATAATAATTTATGAATTATGAAGGGTTCATGAGGGAAGGGGAGTGGGGAGGGAGGGGGTAAATGAGCAACTGACATTAAGGGCTAAAGTAGAAGGCAAATGTTTTGAGAATGATGAGGGCAACAAATGTACATGTGTGCTTGACAAAATGGCTGTATGTATGGACTGTGATAAGAATTGTACGAGCCCCAATAAAATAATTAAAAAGAAAAAAAAAGCTATGGGTAGAGCCATTATACAGCTACTCTACATGGCAGTAGCAATGGTTGATCTGTCTATACCTATTTATATTTTTTAAACCATTTTAAAATAAATCATTTTATTGGGGGCTCTTACAACTCTTATAACAATCCATACATCAATTGTATCAAACACATCTGTGCAAATGTTGCCATCATCATTTTCAAAACATTTTCTTTCTACTTGAGCCCTTGGTATCAGCTCCTCTTTTCTCTCCCTTCCTCTCCCCGCTCCCACGCTCGTGAACCCTAGATAAACTCTAAACTATTCTTCTTTTCATGTCTTACAGCATCGCTCTCTCCCTTCACTCACGTTTCTGTTGTTCGTCCCCCTGAGGTGTGTGTGCGGGGTGGGGGGGGTGCTTAATATGTCGATCATTGCAATTGGCTCCCCATTTGTGACAATTTTTAAGTCAAAAATATGGTTAGCTAACTTATGATTAGCAGTCCCGCGCATAACCCACTGCACTACCAAGGCTCCTTCCTTTAATTGGCCATTTAATAATAATTGGGAAAATTAAAGAAGCCATTTTCCTTTTCTAAAACCTAGGATGACCTAAAATCAGAATGTACTTACAAGTGACTTGCCACAGTTTTCAGCTGACTCATCAGCAACACATGTCTTTGCAAAGTCCGTTACCTCGGTGACTAATTTTACATGTTCTTCATATGGGCACTTCTGGAGGTACTGAGAAAAGGTGATCAGCAATCTGAAACGAAGGGCATAAAGAGCACATTTAGACCACAACAAGACTTCAATATAAAGCAGGTTGCTATGC